CGATACAAATAGAAATGTTTGTACCGTGCGTGGAATCGTACCCGCGACCATCGGACAAAAAGCGGTGAGCTTAACCGCTATAGCACAAAATTTATATCTTCTATATTTCTCCGATCGTGCTTGTGATGAAGTGAAGCAGATAAATTATATTGAACATATTGATTATATGCCTATAGAATTAATATTTGGATTCTTAAACTTAGACTGAATACAATGACAGATGTATGATATTAAATTAGTCTCGCAAAACAAATAATGCAACAACAGCTAGCACAGAAGCAGCACCCGTTCACGAGTGTGACCAACGAGCCAACCGTCATCGTAATAACAGGAAAAGGAATATCACATTATATGAAGTGGAAGATAAATGAACAAATATTCGCTAAAATAGCTCTTGAGAAAAAGATCGCGTGCGTGCAGCATCCGTCCGGATATCAAGTATTACGGGAGACATCTCTTTATTAAATATTAAACAAATGATCTATGGACTGGAACTCTCCCGTGGGAACTTACAAGAACCAATTTAATACTTACTAGTGGCGACCTCGATTTCACCCGCGTTCAATAAAAATATAGCCTATATGTTATTCTGATGCATGAGTTATATTACTGTAAAGTTTCATAAAAATCCGTTTAGTAGTTTTTGCGTGAAAGAGTAACAAACTAAATCTACTACTAACAAGTTTTTTATAAGTTTTTCTAAACATGAATACGAGTCATTTTTTAATATGGTCTATTTATGTATGATTAATGTTATGAGATATAGAAAAAAACTATAAAAAAATTACTTCAGTTGTTACATATTAATATAAGACAAACAACAGAGTAAACACTTTCCAATGAAAGTACAGGAACTATAAAAATCATTACATATGCACAATAGAAACTTGCTTTTTTGAAGTTGGTCAATAATAAAATTGGGATATTTATCCGCCGTACATCAAAGAGAGCTATTATAATATACTTTGGACCCTGTTCGTAGAAAAAAAATATTGTTACTTCTCTATAGACTAATGAAAAGACAAGATTCACATTTTGGGCAGATTTTTCTTGTATCTATAATTATTAAATTCGAGAAATCATCATCATAAAGGAGCAAAATTCAAAGAAATGTAAAAAAACCCAATCTAACAAGTACTACGCCAAAAGGAAAATTAATATGATTATACATAAAATAAAGTCGTAAAATAGCCCATGTACTTCTAGAATTTCTGTCTACGTAGGTATTTCTCTATGTTTTATGTACACAATTCTCAGAAACGGCCTAATCTATTTGAATACGGATTTTAGCTATGTAATGCAGCACCGTCCTATCAATAAAGTTCAACATATTATTATTGTAGCATTGTCTGTCATATATACGTCACAAGTACACCAGCACAGCTAGTTACAAAATGTAAATAAAAATGAATTCAATTGTTTAATCGTGAATAACAAACGTCTAAACATCTAAGAATCTCTGCAAATCTCTCTTCCATATTCAAATTGTTATTATTGTGTTGGTATTGTTATGTAGACTTATACTAATTTTAATATATATTTGCTCTACCCTTCATGGGATTATATGCGATGCCTGTGTAAAGTTATAATCGGGATTAATGTGAATACTCCTTGTATATTCATATAGCAATGTTATTTGTAGTCTGAATATTGCTAAAGAAATTTGAATACTGCTTTATGGTGTTCTTAGTTTGCTTCGACGTTCCTGTACTAAGATATTCGATTATTCTGTTGTATAAAAACAGACTTCAACCATGACTAATTATATTGTAGTAAGATCACAGGAGTAAACAAAAAGAGGGAGGAATACATAGATATTGTTTGTTAAACTATAGATATTGTTACTTACACATGTAAGCTAAAATATAAAATTAGAATGCCCACAAAATAAATAAACTTCGACTTAAAAGTATTCTTTTTCAAGTAACTAGCGTCTGTTTACTTTGTGTACGTATATACCTACACTTATATTTTTTTCAGATACAGTTCCCTTACAAAGTTTCAATATAGAAATAAAAATATCTAATGTTAAATCAAACAAACTTAATTTTAAGCACCTTCAATTTTCCTTTTTTAATTCTACCAGAATACAGAATCAGCCAAGAGGAATGAACTAGAAACTTGTCTGTTGCTCTTGTCAAGAACTTTACATTTTTAATTTAAAATCTGCGTGCTATGTGCACACTACTAAATACCACTAATTCATTGTATATAATAATAATTAACTATTCTTATCTATAGGTTTTCAGAAAGACAAAGGGATGGTACATCAGTGTTAGGATATACGCATACTGGGCACTACTATGGTGGAACTGACCAGTTAGCCCATCGTGGCGAATTCATGTTAATCGCAATTGTTTTCTACCTACGCTTTACTAAAATAAATTAAAAAATAAGTATAAACAGGTTAAGAAAACAAAAACATCTCTTTATTGGTTTGAACTCCGAAACTAATCCAATATAATTACTAATAAACTTCTACTCTACAAATGCGATACAGTAATAGATCTTATATACGCAATACGATAACTCAGAGAAAAATCGCCCGCTTATTTCATTGATTGCTTTTATTACACGAGTAATAAATCAGACGGTAAATACGTGGTCTGCTTGAAAATACTTATAAACACTGCAAATAGTGTTTGACCGAAGATAACCGAACAAATATCGAATAAATAATATTTTTTGAGTGAATACCTACGTTATTTATTTATATCTGACGAGAAATATTCTTATTAACATATAACCTAAAATAAAAATAAATTATACTATATCTAAAAGTTAAATACATCAAAATAGATCTTTCGATATACTTGTTTAAGTCTCTATTCCGTTTTTAGTCGAGTGTTTTTTTATACTACTATGGTGGCAAACATACAGCCCATCTGATGGTAAACGGTTACCTTAACCTATGGACGCTTGAAACACGGTGTTGCGTGCGCGTTGCCGAACCTTAATAAACCCTAACATAACCTTCTTCTTCAATACCTCCTTTCAGTCGAATGTGGTAGTTACATAACTATTTATCATTCTAAGTTATTCTAAGATTTCCAACAGATGCTACTTTCCATCGGGTGGGCCGTTGGTTTGCCGTTACAAGAGGAATATAAAACAAACTGCAATCAGAATAAGACAAACTTAGTCACAAGTCATTTTAGCAGACAACAGTTCAAAAGTGTGACAAGTTTGACAATTTCAAGAATTTCCAGTTCAAGAAATAAATAATTAATGCGACAAGGTGTACCAAAGTTTATTTTAAGCAAAATATAAGAGGAAGCAACTTTCCTTTTCTATAAAATTATTATGTAGATAAGTTGGTACCTACTATAGAGTAATCACTTAGTAAATTAAGGACAACCGAGTACTAAAAACGTACATCCTATAGATATAATAATATTGTATTTCATCGAAAATTAATTATTAAATAGCACCGGCTTATTATCTCTGATCAACACGACGGTTGACTGGTGGAGAATGCCATCAGGCATTAAGTCCTGCATGTATACCATTTTGTGTGCAAAAGAATAAATAAATAAAATTGTTTTTAGAATAGGCAGACTTACGACACGACTTTTTGAATGTACGAAAGCAATCTTATTGTGTATTTATATTTGATCCTAATAAATTAGTGCTAGTTGGTGGTTTGTATTCACACGTTTGAACTTGTAAATGTAAACTTACAAGGATAATTTAAAAGAGCAACACACAAGTTTCTTACTCATTCCTCTTGTGATGAGACAGTTTTCCGAATGAGCGATAGATTAAAAAAAATGTTATGACTATTCAAAAGTGCTTAAATTAAATTTATTGGAATAAATATTTTCTATTTTATTATATTCTATTCTATTCAATACAATTGAATTGTTAACTCTTACTTTTCCCGTTGCTTGAAATTTAGGCGATAGAAATAATTATGTTGTTAGGTTAACTTACTTATTATTATGTTAGCCAGTCAATAAATCAACCGGTTGATAGGTGACGTATCTAAAAACATGAAAACTGTTTGTGGAATCCGAAAGCTTCGAAGTTAATTATCCCAGCCTTCGAGAGTTAATTAAGTTACCGACTTATCTTGACTGCTGCTTGTTCGGACTGCCCCTGATTGTCAGCTGTTTTGCTACAGCAAATCTTATTAACATTGTGAATTTCCTTCAACAGAATGGAAAAATAAATAAAATTACATTATGTTCTTAGAAAAACTCAGTAAAAGTGTAACGATTTATAGCTTCTAATCCACTATTGAAGAAACATGAGTAATGTTATCTATTAATTTAGTACTTTATACTAGTAAACAACAACCTTTCAAAATATGTTCAGTAGTATATAATTATGAATCATCTATCACCAGAAATATCATTTGTTGCAATAGTGTGAAAATAATAGAATTTTAAAAGAAAGAATTTTTATGTAACAATAAAGAGTGATTTTGTATTTTTTAGACAAGAAGAAAAATAAGTTTATAAGTCGATTTCAAATATAGAAACCTAAGTTGAATATTGAGTATTAATTATGTGACGATGTAAGTAACAATTCTCAATTGTAAATAATTAAAATTTATGACGGATTTTCAAGGAGCCATTGGAGAGTTGCAGAAGTGAGCTAAGTTGCAAAGTAATTGCAACTGCTAATATATACAATGGAATTATTAGTAAATTCTTAATAATCCTCATTTCTTGCCTTTATGTAACTAAGTCTCAGTAGTGCCTAGGTAATTAGGTAAATTTGATTATTCGACTCCAAAAACATAAATCAATTAGGATTCTAAAATAAGAGGGATAGTGCTGGCTTTAGTAAAAAAAATATTGTTTAACAAAATGTTATTTTAGGACTCTCCGATTATCGAAACATGGGTTACAAACAGAACTAATGCGAAATGTTTAATTTAAATATACTTAGCAAAATTTATTCACAACTCTCATCGATACTTCACAAATAAAAACATCTTTATTCTAGTAGGTAAACTTTAGTGACATTTATTCTTTTGACTAATACATCTGGGCTAGAAGGTGAAGTTAGTAGGCCTAGAAGGTGTATATATAATAATATATTAAATAGTACAATTTATTATAATTACAACAGACAATAAAAATAAAACTGAAATTATAATCGTAAGTATTAATAATACTATTTGTGTTTGGCAGGCGGTGCTGGTGGTGGTATGGGAGAACGATAGTATTTCTCGTAGATAGCATCCCAAAAACGCTTTCGTTTCTCCAACGGTATCATAGCTTTCAGTTCTAATTCTCTTCCTACTTCCATGAAGGGGGAAACGTTAGTGTTCGCAGGAGGCCATGCTGGAAATGATGATCCCTCCGGTGCCGGATTTCTGTTAACCAAATAATATTTAACCATCCACTACTGCTTTTGATGAGCTTAACAATATTTTATTGAGAGTAGTCACTTCACAAATATCAAATAATCATTCCAGTAGGGATTCTACTGGAAAATCTATTTATACAATGCATATAGGAATTACCCCCAGTTGGAAATAAAACATGTACATAACAACGTTTATTATAAATATTTTCCGTACATATCCATATCCATAATTTAATTTTTTCATACAAAGCTAGCCACAAACTACTTCAATTACATCTGTACAAATCTAAACACAAGTAAATATTTTTGATTTGTTGTATCTTTTTTATAATGGATTAACACGTATAATACTAGTCTCAATTGAGCCAGAAAAAATAGACTGTATTTCATGCGGGCAAGCCTTTGGGGCAATCCCTATACTATTAGCATACTAAAAATATTACTTACCCAGTTTTGACAAAATTATACACCAGCTCCCTCATTGTAGCTTTAACTTTTCGGAATTCATCACTAATATTTTTTTCTCCAGTATTACCAATTTCCGGCCCATCAAGTACAGCCATTGAATGAGCACAATGTCTTGCTCCTCGAAGACTTGGATATTGTACAGGGATATCAATGTCTTCTACAAATGAATATTCATACAAGTATACTTTGTCATTACCAGCTTCCACATGTAGCTGTATAGATCTCAATACTCCATAAGAAAACTGAACATCAGAGAAATAATCAATATAGTTTTTTATTGTCGCTGAACTGACTGTCTTCTTTTTAAAATAAAACTTTTTAACCTCTTTTGCAACAGCCTCTCTCTGGTTTTCATTATCAAATTGTAAATCAGCTGGTAAAAAGTTTGAAAATTTTACATTCATACTATCTTTCCAGTATTCAAAAACCGGTAAACGAAATATACCTTCCATACTAGCAAATCCGTATAGCATAGGCACTTTAATATATTTTCCTTTTTTCAAAATATTTATAGGAGTATCATTAAGAAAATTGTTTTCTCCAGTATTACGTTCCACACATACACTAAAAACAAAAGTAGAATCAGGTTCTACTAAGAAGTGTTTAAAATTTAAAACTTCATTAGGTACCGTCTTATAGAATTCTTCCAAAGCGTAAAAGTCATCGATATTTGTGAAATTTAGCAACTTTGCATAATCTTTCGCATTCTTTAGCGGATCTTGTTGTACCGACCATACAACTGTATTGGAGCCACTCTCTACTATTACTTTATTAAAAAGTCCTTTAGCTAAAGGTGATAGTAATAGAAGATCAACGGACGTAGCACCTGCACTGTAACCGACCAAAGTAATGTCTTTCGAATTGCCTCCAAAATTGGCAACATTTTTCTTTACCCATTGCAATAACGCTATCTGATCTTTCATACCAGCATTACCTGGAACATACTTGGTACCCAAACATAAAAACCCATGTACACCAAGCCTGTAATTGAATGTGACAACTATCACATTTTTACTTTGTACCAAATTCTTTGGAGTTGATAAATCGCCGAGGCCTACGTGGAAAGCACCTCCATGTACGTAAACTACGACAGGAAGCTTCTGATTTGTTGTACTCGTATTTGGTACATATACGTTTGCAATGAGACAATCTTCTTGCATATTATATTTCAGCCTATACATTTCAAGAAATTGGTTAGGTTGGGGGCAAGCTACATATTTGTTTACGGCATCCAGAGTTTCTGTCCATACTGGAGCGGGTAGAGGTGCCTAAAAATGAAAATAAAACTTTAAATTATTGTATTTTACCTAAGCACTTACAAGAATTAAAACCGTTAACTCCTATGTACTTATTTTAATAATGTAATATTAGCAGATAAAGTCAGATTGTGAGCAGAATACTGTTAACAATCTGACTTTATCTGCTAATATTATTTTGTACACTTTGCAATCGTTTTAAAAAAATATAATAGAGATGTGCGTAACAGAAAAGACATGACATTGTCCTTTGGAATAACAACGCATGGGTGTCACAAGACAACACAGTATCCGTAGTGCTGTTCATGTATATAGGCGACGGTTACCGCTTACCATCGGTTGTGTCTTCGGCTTGTTTGCCATTCGAATAAAATATAGTATATGAGAAAAAGACGTGTCCGCCCCGCTGATAATGCGGCGAAGCCTTTATCCAACGCGCCGCCCGCTGACGGTAAAATTAGGTCGATCTGTCTGTATTTAAAAATATCATAACTATTTTTATTTTCTACAACTAAAAGAAGCCAGAGGTCTCGTCTACAATTTTGATAAAAAGGCTTGTTAAACAATCTATTTTCACAGTACTATTATAAATAGGATGCGAAAATTCATCCCAATGATCAAATTTTCCCCATCCCCATTTATAATAGTACTAGCTCACATATTACACATTCTTGCAACATTTTTTTAAAGAATATTCTCTCCTATAGGTTCTACCATGTTGTTATATAGCCTATGGCCACCCTCAATAAATAAGCTGTCCAATAGTAACGGTATTTTCAAAATCCGGTCAGTAATAACGGAGATTACTTCAAACACCCAAAATTACTTCTAAAAGCAATATAGGCATACAAATATATACCTATGTATAATATAAATATAAAAATCAAGTACTATGCGGGCTTAGCTTCTAATATTAGCCATCGTACATTATGGTATACGTTTGTTGGTACACTTTAAAGGGTAAACCTTTTAATTTTTTTTTAACTTACTTGAAACCTGTTCGGACCTGTAGGTGCTTTAGCATATGGAATTCCGTAGAAAACAAAAATGTTCATTTCAGGATCCTTATAACCACGAACAGGTCCTTGCGATAACTGAACAACTTTGGACGCCATCTTAGGAGTCTTGCCACAAAACACGCCTGTTGCGAGGCTCATGAATACGAACGACCACCTCATCGTGCGGGTGCTAGTAAGTATGGTCCAATCAACGGAAGTACAGGCTTTTCATAGCAATAAGTATTCGTTGTCATATATAGTGTAGTATTTCATAGCTAATAATAATATGTTAACAAACTACGAGTACCATGACGTTACTCCTATAAAATTGTAATATCTATAATTATATAAAGTAATGTATCATTCTTATTATCATGGCAGATGGTAATATCGTTAGTTCTTCTAAAGTTCTTTATGAAAACTAAATATTTAATTATATTTTTCAATATAAATTGAACGAAAATATAAATGTAGTTTATTTATTCCTAACAAAGAAAATTGTTAATAAAATATAAAATGAAACATCAGTATCTTTGAAGTCTTTAAAGAAACCTATGTTTAAAGGGAAATAGATAATTTTATACAATTTTGTTATTTAATTATTTAGGTAATAAATATAAGCATAAAAACAAACAAATATAACTCAGAGACTAATACAAACAATATTTATCTAAATGTATCATGCTATAAATCGAGCCCGCAATAATCAAAAGTAAAGCGGCGCGTTAAACCACTAAACTCTAGACCGTCAATAGTTAAACACTATAAATGTCGGCTATAAATAAATACATAGATTGGATACCTATTTGACAGGTATCGTCACTATTAATTATACGGACGAATGCATATTTAGCATACAGTAGCATTTTGCTAAACCATTTGGAAACAAACTGTTAGTCGCTTCATCTGCATAATGTTTAAATAATTTAATTTTCGGTATTCAATGACTATTGTAAAAATACGTTTATTTGTATATATGTATTGTATAAAGACTGTTTCATGCCAAAATAAAGATAAAAAAAATATTTCAATCCCTTTTTCGTACAGACTGCAACAGTAGACTATTGTTTGAGTTGAATGTGCTTCGTGTATGCCTTATTTTCTTCTCCAAGGCCCTATCTCTCTTTATACTAAAATTCATCAAAATTGGAACTACAGTTTAAATAACACACGCACGCCACAATAGATGACAGATTTTTTCCTATTTACATAACAAACTTTCGAGTATATATATGTATATTCTTATTAGTAAAAGCATCCCTTAGGTTTTAATTTCACTAATAGTAGTTTAGTTTTGGAAATGTAACAAACAGTCACACCGAGACACATTCGCGTTTAAAATTTTAATATGTTTTACATCACAGATTCTTAGATTTTATATCACATATCACTCATATATATGTTTATATGTATATCTAGTAACAGAAAGGTATAATAACAAACAAATACAGTAATAAAAAAACATTAACAATAAACTTTATATACAAGCAAGAAATAAAAAGGCTTTTTTTATTTTTATTTATTTATCATACATCACACAGGGGAAGTCGCGATTTATGATCAGATTGAAATAAATATATGTATTATTTTAAATTACTGACAACTATTGCCAAACATGAGTATGCAAAATGTTGATGTACTTAATTAAGTATATAAATATGTGAGTAATAACATAATAATCTAATTGATGAGTTATATTAGCTATGACATTCCTTCTCTACTAAGGCATATGGTATATAATATCATGAAATATAACAAGTATAACATTTTTTTTTCTAAATTCACTGTGAGCCTCAGTATAGAGCAAAATATTTTTATACAGCAAAATCGGTAATTTCTTCACACAACTCAGTTCTCCTCCGATCGATCTCCCGTCCAATTCCAACGGGGATCGAAATTACGACGGCCTGAAGCCGGTGTTTGAACCCCTAGCGGTGCCCTTAGAATAAAGTCGTATCCGCCAGGTAGGAGTTAGCCTTCAGCCGCTCCATAAGTCCTTCCGCGGGTTTGGAATGTCATCTGCACTCGTCCCCTATCGTCCGCTGAAGCTGTAAAGGCCAGCTGCAGCCAACAGCATTAGAGAAGTCCGAAAAAAAAAAACTTGACGTTATGATGTGATGCCCGCGATATCACTTATGCGTTGCTATTTCGGAGGACTAACGAATCTTGCCTCCGTATTCTGCAATTTCATTGATTAATCTGCACACTTCAGCCCACAAACAGCGTTCAAAGGAAGGTTATTGGCGGTTGAAATAAATGACACTGAGGTACTCACTTTTTGAAATAAATGACACTCCTTCGAAAAGACTGCCGATTTTTATTAAAATTTGTCATACACACAGCAGACACACACCACACACAACACAAAATTTTCACTTTTCTGCATCAACTTTTTTAATACCGCTAATTTATATGGCAAAACAACATTTGCGATGAACATATAACAATAAACGTCCAACTGATCGCCACGCCATTGCACTTTGACGTCGCCCTACACTAATGCTCTACCATTAGCACAGTCAAGTGCAATTGCCCTAACTAAAAGATGGTTAGTACAATTGAAATTGTGCCCGTTACAATCATAGAAATATATATTTAGTTATTTATTTATCTTCACACAAATATGTAAAATATTCAAGCATTTTCTTAACTTTTATGGTCAACTTACAACAGTATCAAAGTTTACCACGCTACGGTAACAATGCATGTCCGGATTAATTCGTGCCACGGTCGTTCCAAGAGTTTTATTGAAAGAAATTGGCGGATGTAAAAGTTAAGCAGCTCGTCTAGCAACTTGTGAGAAGTTCTTTCATTACTCAACCGTAGAGTTGACCCACCTCCCGACCCGTTGTGACAGCACGTCTTCGCAAACTATGTATATCCATGAAAAAATTTGTTTTACTGCTCTGTTGGAAGTAAAGTTATATTTATGTCTTTACAAATATCTAGAGACTGTAAAAGTGTGCATATTTAAAAATGTACCAATAAGTATATTTTATATTAAAATTTAAATACATAACGGACTTCCGCAATATAATACCTAAATCGATAAAATATACCATATCTTTCTTTGATTAAGTATGAAATAAATAAAAAAATGCAGCCAATTTGAAATGGTACTGGGCCGTCGCCGATACGATGGAACGTTCAAGAGTGGAAACCTCGAGTGAAAACAACTACTGCTACTGTTGTTAATGTTACTGACAGAGCACTAAACATCTCACGTGGAACATATTCGAGACGAATTATACCTATCGGTGGGCTACCTCATGTAGAAAGAGAAATACTAGAAGAATTAAAGCAGCAAAATACATAACGCAACAATTTAAAATTAGAGTAAATTAGATGACATACACAATAAAAAGAGTTTAATAGTGAATCCACGTGTATCCACTATGTAGATTTCATTGATATTATTTTCATAGTTTCAAAAAAGCAGTTACTCCACTGAAATCAGGAGAATTATTTTTTAAATTACTAAACTTAATAAATTAGATATTCTGTGGACGTTTGAAAGCGATATGACATAAGGCAACTTTAAGCAGGCAATAAGAGAAAGAAAGAAATAAATAATAATATAATAATTAGTATTTATCTATTTCTATAATAATTAGTCTTCAATTATTATAGATAGTCTTCAATTACAAATCATTTGAAAATAGCTAATAAATAAAAAGGATAGTTTGTATTATTAATCATCGTGACATGGCTAGAAATATTTCATACCAGATGTCGGATATAGATTCGGGTGATGATAATAAAATTATTAGTAAGTGCAATTAGAGCAAACAAATAAATAATAAATATAATTTATAGAGGTAGTAACAGTTTTTATCATCATAACTTGTCTTATAAGTACTACTTTGATAACTGATAAAAGTTCAAGTTTTTGATTGTTATTGTTAGCAACGAAATGTAAAAGTTTCATACTAGATAACTTTGTGATATAGCGCAATCTATATATCACATTATTTGTGATATATTGGTCGGTTTTCATATAACCATAGAGACATATTATATATATACCCATATAATCATGCTTTGAAACTAAAAAATAACTAAAGTATATAAGTATTCCAAAGCGCTTATTTAAATAAAGATTTTTTTCTATCCTATACTAGTCCTACTTATTCTCAATACAATAATACTTAGTCTGTTAGTAATGTCGGTTAATAACTTCATTGCCCTGAAAACCATCATATTAAATTCCTAGTGAATTTGTCATGATGAAGTGACCTGACCTCATACTAGTTTTATCATCCATCACCGATGCTAGCGTATACCGTTAGTACAGGCGAAAGCATGTCATTATCATCCCTTAAAAAATATATCGGAAAATAGAACAACAAACTAAAAACTAATACAAATCAGTACGGTAATTATCTTTTGAGATGTTGTATGCAACAGGTCACTCAGAAAGTGTTTCGAGGAAAAGTTTTTATGTATGTGAGAGTGACCAGTTAGAACAATTATTACTTATAAGTAGAAATAGGTACGTTCTAAATTCAAAACTTCCCTCCACATTTTTTGCGAGCTAATTAAAATGACCCTAAATAGTCTCATTGAAAAATGGATTTGCGTCGAGAACATTTTCGCGCTATGATTTTTTACGATTTTAAGTGAATCGTACGATAGACTTCAAATGGCATTTATGGATGAAGATCCTTCTAAGACAACCGTGTATCGTTGGTATAATGAATTCAAAGTTAGCCGACCGGACTAACTTTGGGAGATGAAGAAAGAAGTATATATCGCCCTTTGACGGTGGATGATCCGCTCTCAGCGTTCGAGCAGGCTGTAAACGAGGTGTCTGCGGCAGACTGAAAAAAGTGTTTCAAAAAGTGGTTCAGACGCATGAAACTTTGTATAGAGGCTGGTGGAGAGTACATTGAAAATATGTAATAAAAATATATTTACCTATAGAACTATTTTTTAGTGTCGCAAAACTTTCTGAGTGTCCCACGTATTATATGAAACATCAATAGTATTCAAATTTGTAATTTATACTAGATACAATAAAGGTTTAACACATTGCCTCACAGTCCAATAATCGCAGGTTCGAAAGTACA